TGCAAAAGAAATACAAATAATTATAAGCAAACACTATGAACAACTAAATGCCAACAAGCTGGACAATGTGGATGAAATGGAGAAATTCCCAGAAAAATACAATCTCCTAAAACCGAATCAGGAAGAATCAGAAAACCTGAATAGGCCAATAACACCTGAGGAAATAGAAGCAGTAATAAAAAAACTCCCAGCAAACAATTTAAGTCCGGATGCTTCACAGGGGAGTTTTACCAAACATTCAAAGAAGATCTAATAACTATCGTCCTCAAACTATTTCAGAAAATCCAAGAGGAAGGAACACTTCCAAACACTTTTTATGAGGCCAGCATAATCTTAATTCCAAAACCAGATAAAGACACTACAAAGGAAGAGAATTACAGGCCAATATCCTTTATGAACATAGATGCTAAAATCCTCAACAGAATATTAGCAAATAGGTTCCAGGAATATATTAGAAAGATCATACACCATGAACAAGTGGGACTTATTCTGGGGATGCAAGGCTGGTACAATTTTGGAAAATCAATAAATGTGATACATCACATAAACACAATGAAAGATAAAATCATATTATCATATCAATAGATGCAGAAGCAGCATTCAATAAAATTCAGTACCCAGCAAAGTGGGTATAGTAGGATCATACTTAATGTAATAAAGGCCATATATGACAAACCTATAGCCAACATCATACTCAATGGGCAAAAACTTTAAAGTATTTCTCTTAAGATCAGGAACAAGAAAGAATGTATGCTTTCACCACTGTTATTCAACATAGTATTGAAAGTCCTAGCCACAGCAATCAGACAAGAAGAAGAAATAAAAGGCATCTAAATTGGGAAGAAGGAAGAGAAACTGTCATTATTCACAGAAGACATATTGTCCATAGAAAACTCTAAGGACTCCACACACACAAAAATACTACATCTAATAAGTGAACTCAGCAAAGTATCAGGATACAAAATTAATAACCAAAAACCAGTGGCATTTTTTCTCTTTTTTAAAAAAATATTTTTTATTGATTTCAGAGAGGATGGAAAGGGAGAGAGAGATAGAAACATCAATGATGAGAGAGAATCATTGACTAGCTGCCTCCCCCATGGTCCTCCATGGCCCAAACTGGGGATCAAGCCTGCAACCTGGGCATGTGCCCTGACTGCTAATAGAACTGTGATCTCTTGGTTCATAGGTTGGTGCTGAACTACTGAACCATATTGGCCAGTGGCATTTTTATACACCAATAATGAACTCTCAGAAAGAGAAACTAAGAAAACAACTCCATTTACTATTGCAACAACAAAAAAATAAGGAACCTAGGAATAAATTTAGGAACGAGGTAAAAGACTTGTACTCAGAAAACTATAGGTCATTGAAGAAATAGAGGAAGACACCAAGTGGGAGCATATACCATGTTCATGGATTGGAATAATTAGCATCATTAAAATGTCCATACTACCCAATGCAAGCTATAGATTCAACAAAATTTCTATTAAAATACCAATGGCAATTTCACAGATCTACAATAAATATTCCAAAGATTTATTTGGAACTAAAAAACAAACCGAACAGCTTCAGCAATCTTGAGAAAGAAGAACAAAGTTGGAGGGATCACACTACTGGCTATCAAACTATACTACAAAGTCATTGTAACCAAAACACCATGTTACTGGCACAATAACAGGCATATAGATCAATGTAACAGAACAGAGACCCCAGAAATCAACCCACGCCTTTATGTCAATTAATATTTGACAAAGGAGGCAAGGACATACAATAGAGTAAAAGCAAGCAGAGGTGTCCTGCATGCCTCATGGTTGTCACGGTGCAAAGTGCTTACTGGGATTTTGCCAAAAAAAAAAAAAAAAAAAAAAGAAAAGAAAAAAAAAAAAGAAGAGAAACTAGACCACCAACTTATATCACACACAAGAAAAGAATAAACTCAAAGAGTGGATAAGAGACTTAAATGTAAGCTGTAAAACCATGCAAATCCTAGAAGAAAACAGGCAGTACAATCTCAGACATCGCTTGTAGCAATATTTTTGCCCATATATCTGCTAGGGTAAGGGAAACAAGGGAAAAATAAACAAATAGGATTACATCAAGCTAAAAAGGTTCTCACAGAAAAGAAACCATCAACAAAAGCAAAAGTGAACCCACTGCATGGGAGAACATATTTGCCAGTGATACAGCTGGTAAGGGGTTTGTTTCCAAAATGTATACAAAAGAACTCATACAACTCAACACCAGAAAGACAAACAATCCAATTAAAACATGGGCAGCGATCCTGCATAGGCACCTCTCTAAAGAGGACATAAAGATGGCTAATAGACACATGAAAAGATGCTCAGTGTCACTAATCATCAGAGAGATGCAAATTAAAAAGACAATGAGGTATCACCTCACGCCTGTCAGAATGGCTACCATTAACAAGCAACAAATGACAAGTGCGGCAAGGATATGGAGAAAAGGGAACCCTAATACAAAACTGGTGGGAATGCAGACTGGTACAGCCTTCGTGGAAAAAGGTAAGGAGTTTCCTCAAAAGATTATAAATGGAACTGCTATTTGACCCAGTGATCCCATTTCTGGGAACGTATTCTAAGAATCCTGAAACATCAGTCAGAAAGAATGTATGCACCTCTCTGTTCATGCAGCATTATTCACAAAAGCCAAGATCTGGAAGCAGCCCAGGTGCCCATCCATC